TATTAATATTTATTTTAATCATATTGAATGAGTTGTATTAAAAAACCTACTACTTATTCATGGATCGCTAAAAAATCTTGCAGAAGAAAAACAATTTTTTCAGGTAGTATCATCTTGACAGAGTTTTTCTAACAAAGTCAACATGATATTTTTCTTTGTCTGTCTGTTGTGTTAGTCTATGAATGATTATTTTGAACAGAAGTACAAACTGAAGAAATAAACATACATTTATTTACAAATTACACGGTACATACAAGCAGACATCTTCACCATTTTGAGTTGTAGCTTGTTCTTTAATAATTAATTTCCATGACTTAGCTCACTAATTACAAGGGTAACAGGGCCAAACCATCATCGTACAGGATTAGATCAGCAGCTTCAAGTCTTCTTCCGTAATGTTCTCATTAGTTGTTTCTAATCATCATATATTGTGTAACCCACGAAGTTTGTCAATTAAATGCTTTGACTTCACAACCAGATTCCCCTGTGTCAATAAATCAAGCAGCATTACAGTACCTATACTTACAGTTATATGGCAACATTTCACGAGTGTAACTTTACAGTAAACTTACACCTGCGAAGTCTTGCCACGTAAAACATACACTGAGTCAATAAATCAAGCAGCATTACAGTACCTATACTTATAGTTATATGGCAACATTTCACAAGTGTAAGTTTACAGTAAACTTATGCCTGTGAAGTCTTGCCATGTAAAACATACACCAAGTCAATAAATCAAGCAGCATTACAGTACCTATACTTATGGTTATATGGCAACATTTCACAAGTGTAAGTTTACAGTAAACTTACACCTGCGAAGTCTTGCCACGTAAAACATACACTGAGTCAATAAATCAAGCAGCATTACAGTACCTATACTTATAGTTATATGGCAACATTTCACAAGTGTAAGTTTGCAGTAAACTTACGCCTGCGAAGTCTTGCCACGTAAAACATACACTGAGTCAATAAATCAAGCAGTACCTATACTTATGGTTATATGGCAACATTTCACAAGTGTAAGTTTGCAGTAAACTTACGCCTGCGAAGTCTTGCCACGTAAAACATACATATAGGTACTGTAATGCTGCTTGATTTATTGACTCAGTGTAATTTGGTTGTGAAGTAAATGCAGTTATTACTGTAACTTACATTATGTGAACTAATATGTATACCCACAGGGACACTTACTTTGTAGTAATCTTGTAGTTAGATCATGGGGTGGTTCAAAATAGTGACGCAAATCACAGACATTTACTGTCACAATCATTTGATGTCAATAACTTTAAGACACATTTAAATTGAAGTCAAAAGTTTAAATCAAACTCATACTAAGGTGAATAGTACTGGGGACAAAATAAATATAGAATGAATAAGAAAAATAAAGTAAAAGGTGAACAAATGTTTACTTTTTGTAATTGTATTTATTTGATTGCAAGGAATACAAGATCAAAAATATGTCATTGATGGTAGATTTGACATTTTTCTGATAGCCTTACTTTATGCTTAGTCATATTTTTTTGCTTATCAGTTTGTGATTGGTTGTTTTAAAATTTCTAGCCATTATTCTAAAACCCAGTGAACTATAGTAAGGAATGTTTCGTTTAATACCTTCTCTCGTATACCACCAAAAATAAATTTAATTTTACTCCTACTAAACAAAATAACAATTGTAAAGATTATAAGCTTGGCAAGTTTCAAAAAGTGTTTTAAATATAAGGCAATGTTGTTAAAACATTTTACTATAAAAGAACATAAATACAAGGTCAAAATTTACAAAAAAAAGTATTTAAGTCAACAGACTTTGGCATTTATTTTCCTGAAAGTCTCCCGAACAGGAGGATGTGTATGGCAACTTTCATTATACCTATTTACATAAGTATGCACAAATGGTAATCCAGGAGGGCCTTCTCCTACCCGTGTGAACAAGATGAACAACACAGATGAAACTTTAGTTTTTTTCTTTAGAAGCACAATTTATATACTGAATACAATTTCATGAATCAGTTCGACTAATGATATTTTACCAGTTGCAAACTGTGGAACACAAGTGATCAGAGTCTGACTGAAAATATTAGAAATAAATTCTGTGGATCGTTGTAACTGCTGTAACTGAATTTCCATAATGATGCAGTATTGTCTGTTGATGAAGAAATTAATGACCATAAGAAAGGTTTAAGGTCCTTGATAATTATAAATATCAATAAGAATGTATGAATTAATGTGCACCTGAGTAGGATCAATATGAAGGTGATAAATATGCTTTTTTCAATGAATATTTTTGTCAAAAAATTAATTTGTATATCTTCTTTTAAAGCGAATTTAGACAGCATGTTTAGCATGTGGATTGAATTATCTATGGACTTCTGCCATTTTTTATTGATTTTGAGATGATATTTTGGGCTTCGTGCTGAATACTTTGTCGTGAGAGAGAGAAAAAAGTCAGGAGAAGTCCATAGAAACCTCAGTCCACAAATTAGGATATCATAATATTATATTATGTGTTATAGACTTTCTGTACTTCCAGGTTTGCTATTCTGTAAGGATTTATATTGATCATGTACTTTCAAAATTTCTGTTATGGTGGACCAATAAATTTGGAATTCTGCCACTGTTAGACAAATCTCTTACACCGTGTACATAAAACTATGAGACGATGTTAATTGAGCACATATTTATTTATGTAACTAAAGGTTTATTTTTTTGTAAATCTTTCATATTTATTTATGATTTTTTTATCTTCAGGTTGTGAGTGTTTCTCGCACTCCTGGCCACACCAAACATTTTCAGACGATATACCTCACGCCAACTGTTCGACTCTGCGACTGTCCGGGTCTTGTTTTTCCTTCTAAAATCCCCAAACCTCTCCAGGTAAGTTTAAACTACAGTCTTTTACTTAAGAAATTTTGATGTTTCTACACTTACACTTCATAATTCTGTAAATTTTTATATAACAGAGCATTTTAATATACAGATTAAAAATTTATCTCATGTTTAATTTGTCTGTAATTAAGCAAGAAGCTACACAATCGGCTATCTGTGCTCTGCCCACCATGTATATCGAAACCCGATTTCTAGAGTTGTAAGTCCGCAGAAATACCGCTGTGCCATTGAGGGGCCTCATGTTTAATAATTTTCGTTCTATGCAGCTCTGTTTAATAATGCTTGTTGTGTTCTTTTTTTTTTAGCTTTTTTAAAAATATTCCTTTCATTGTTTTTTTCTTTGTATAAATTTTTTAATCCTCTCTCTCCAAGTCACGTCACTGAAAATAATATTTCAAGATGATTTTAATATGTCATTGTAGCATTTAGCACCTTTATATCAATAATATTAATAACCCCACACAAGCATCTGGTGAAGTCTATTAATTATTCATATGACATCAGAACCTTGTGGTTGAAAATGCAGTCACTCACAAGCAGACAACACAGCTTGATCTCAGTTAATATATTGTCAGCTGTATTCCAAATACTGTAACTTTATTCTAAAAAGAAATAACACTGGTTTCATTAATATGATCAGTAAAACTATTTACTTATAGGTAAAACGAAAACTTCATAGTATCAATCCATCTGGATAAATTGATAACTAACTTCTCTATTTGGGATGTTACACTACACTGATAAGTAACATCAATTTGGGATGTTACACTACACTGATAAGTAACATCAATTTGAGATGTTACACTACACTGATAAGTAACATCAATTTGAGATGTTACACTACACTGATAAGTAACATCAATTTCAGATGTTACACTACACTGATAAGTAACATCAATTTGGGATGTCCCACTACACTGATAAGTAACATCAATTTGGGATGTCCCACTACACTGATAAGTAACATCAATTTGGGATGTTACACTACACTGATAAGTAACATCAATTTGGGATGTCACACTACACTGATAAGTAACATCAATTTGGGATGTCACACTACACTGATAAGTAACATCAATTTGGGATGTCACACTACACTGATAAGTAACATCAATTTGGGATGTTACACTACACTGATAAGTAACATCAATTTGGGATGTTATGCAGTATAGGAAAGTTGTTGTTTTAATCTATTGTCTTTAAGACATCTAAATTAGGATTGTACAAAAAAGCTTTATTGCATTTATTTATAGTTTTGTGACAAATTTTACAAAAAAAAAGAAATGTTATATCATTGATTATGTTTAGAACCAGAAGTTTTGTGCAAACTGTTCATAAAAATGAAAATATTGGTTATGTTTGTAAGAAAATACAATGCTTTGTATCCTTCAAAATATAATTTCCACAATAGTTAATGTAAAAAATCCTTTAGGATATCCAGGTCGAAAATTTACTTTCATAGAAATAGAGGATCTTTAGATGTCTTTTTTTTATAAAAACTACATTTTTGGAACATAACTAGTTCAATAACCTGAATATTTAACTCACCCTAGAAATTTTTACAGAAGTGTGTATTTTTTTTCAGATACTGACCGGCTGCTACCCCATCGCTCAAGTCCGTGAACCATACTCCGTAGTGATGTATTTAGCGCAAAGAGTACCAGTTCCCGAAATCCTCAAGTTGCAGCATCCAAACCAGGAAGGCAATATGGCTTCTCAGCCTGAACCTTGGTCAGCCTTTGATATTTGTGAAGGTAGGTGTTAATTAGAAAATATAGTTTACAAGTGTAAACCCCAAGTAATATATATATATGTCTAGTTTAACTACAGGGAAACCTATTTCCCTCTTACTCCTCCAGAAAGATTGTGCCTCAGATTTGTATTACTTCATATGAATGCTCACACCCAATAGAATTTGAAAGCTAAAAAAAGAATGTCAGATTCTCTTTTCAATTTCACCTCAGGTGATTAAGAAATCTTTAACATATACATATATATATATATATACAAACACAATGTTTACAGTTATTTTCATGAAATGATAAACACTTCTTTTCCATTAATTACACTCCCTCTTTTTATCCTCCTAATAGCTCCTTCTTTTGCACAATTGCTTAATATCAAATATTAAAATGATTGTTTGAAGTCCTTTGGTAATTTATCCCCCAAACCTCAAAATTCTGGTTATTCCACTAGTCAGTGCTTTATATTTTAAACCATTTGTTGTTAATTAAAATCAAGCTAGAAGTGTTTTATGTTTTTAAACGGTGGCGTTGATTAAAAGAGTTTTCAACATAAATTTTACTCATTTCTTTACACTTTATACCATTTATATGAAACATATTATCCTTTCACATAAACCTTAATCATAGTTTAACATTTCATTTTTTAATAGTGTTTAGAAAGATTCTTTATTTTTAATTCTAGCTGAAGGTTTGATATTTTTATAGAAAAAAAAAAACAACAGAATTTTATTATGTGGTGTATTGTATTTTTTTTTATTAATACAAGATTAATTTTATGGTTGGTGTCATAATAAAAGTCTACGTATATCAAATAACTAATTTTGAGTAGCTTGCTTGCGTGTGTGAGCTCTGAATGTATGAAATATGACTTGAATGATTAATTTACTAGAAAAAAAAAATCGTTATTGCTAAAAATTTAAAAATAAAATGGTTTTATTTAGAATGGCAATTATACATATGATTTCATATACTTGACTTTACTGAATAGAAATAATCAAAACTTTATTATAAGGAATCTGTCATGAAGAACTCTGTTAACTTATTTCAAGTGTGTTGACCCTTCCCTTTAAACACAACGGGCTGATGTAAATCAACAGGTAGTATTTTAGCAGTGTTATTGGTGTGGTTTAATGATCTTGATAAATCTCCTTCCAGCATGGGCTATAAAGAGAGGATTTTTAACTAAACGCACAGCAAGGCCTGATGTCTACAGAGCAGCCAATAACATTCTTAGGTTGTCATTGGATGGAAGAACATTATGTTTAACATTTTATCCACCAGGATACACCACAGAAAAAGGTATATTATAACTTGCTTTTTTTTTTTTCTAGTGGCACCTTGTATTATTGTGTATTTATTAAAATTGAAAATCAATATAGAATAAACTTGAACAACAAACATTGCTTGATCAATGACTGATCTCTACTCCAATTCATGCATCTTACGTCTTTGAAAAATGTCAGTACCTTGATAGTCATTAGAAATTAATTAATTAGTTTCAATTAAAATTTCAAATTACGTTTTAATAACTGTAAGATTGGGTGAATGAATAAAATATAAATACTGGAATAACTGAAGTCTTTCCATCATGAAGAGAGATATTCTTAAATCTAACATTAAAATGTAACTTTGGCCTAGGACATACAATATGATTTGAATTAACACTTAGTACACGAGTGGAGGCTAAAGTGTGCATACCGTGACCTTTTTACAATGAGCCATTCAACGCGGTGATGCGTATTTGATGTAAAGGTTATCAACTATTCATCTTACCCTCCATTCCTGATTTAGTGATAGTTCGTGGTAGAGGAGAGGAGAGTAAATATTACATACAACATACAGAGATACTGAAAATAACTGTAGATATGCATTTTAGAGGTTATGCAAGTGCAACGTACAAACTGTACGATAGACGAAAGTATTTTTGCTGTTCACATGAACATCACCTTGCACTCTGATTTGTGAGGGTCTGAATCAGACCGACATTGTCAATTCACAGATATATCTTGAGTACTGATAAGTTTGTAACATAAGATATAATGTGCACAGCAAACTTGTACATTTCACTAAAAGCTTACCATATTTTGTATAGATACACAGAGTAAATTTGGAATTAAAGTCAACATTCCTTCTCCAATGGAGAGGGGTGATAGTCAGTCCATTGGACCAACCCCGTGCACATTCATTTAACAAGTATAACCTACATAAATATGAGGGGAGAAGTTAGCATTATGGATCGTCACTTTTATAAATTTCATTCGTAATCTCAGCCTTCAGTGCATTCCATTTGCTCTGCATGTGAAATGAATGATGCTACTGGCTCGTCTTATGATCTGAAGGCACTAACTACCACACTAGTTCCATAGTCCCTCATTGATTAACTGTTTTTCAATTTACCAGAATGCTCTGTCTCCCATTAAAGTTTATAACTTTGTACCTTTTTATCGCACCACATGGGTTCATGAATCTTTCTCCATTGGTTGTTACATGGCTTTTTTTCCTAATTGAGCAATTGCCCAGTTGAGCAAGACAACCTAAGATGTAGGTGTTCCAAATTCCTTTTTTTTCCTAATCGAATACAACATTTACAGCAATACATAGTATTAGTATACTTGTATTAGTTGTCTTATCAGAAAATACTTAGTGAGAAATGTATTTATGAATATTTTTGTGAAGGAGAATTTTGAAAATTAGAGTAATTAATTCTTTATTACACAATATCTCAAAATTGGTAATAAAACTAAAGAAATCATGATGTGAAAGTTTATCAGGAGTTTGCTTTTGGAGACGTGTGGATTTGTTTGTTTGTTTGTTTTTAATTTCGCGCAAAGCTACACGAGGGCTATCTGCACTAGCCATCCCTAATTTAGCAGTGTAAGACTAGAGGGAAGGCAGCTAGTCATCACCACCCACCGCCAACTCTTGGACTACTCTTTTACCAACAAATAATGGGATTGACCATCACATAATAATGCCCCCACGGCTGAAAGGACAAGCATGTTTGGTGTGACGGGGATTCGAACCCGCGACCCACAGATTGCGAGTCGAGTGCCCTAACCACCTGGCCATGCCAAGCCGGACATGTGTGGATTTAGTAATAA